CAAAGGCAAAATAGTCCAAAACTATATTAAATTTTATAGTAATGAATTCTGGTAGTCTTTTAAAGATTGAATTATATGATTTTATTTTGGCTAATAATAGTATTGAAGAAAAAGACGAGTTAGAATTTAATAAAGATTATAATAATGACTATAAAGATCATAGTATCAATGATTAGTATTGTATATTAGATATGTCTATACTATATCCAATATTCAATATTTATAATTGTCTAAAATTGTCCAAGCCTATGTCTAAAGTTTAAATAATCAATAAAGTAAGTTAAAAAAATATATAATTATATATTTTTTTAGGTGCTAAATTTATTTATGAAAAAATTATCTTAATAAAATTTTGAGTAATTTTAATTTAAAAAAATATTCAAATATGTTCAAAAGTGTTTATGTGACAATACTGCCAATGAGTTTTATCTAATGATAATAATGAATATGAATATAATTATGAAATTTTTATTAAGTTAAAGAAAAGTACAATTTTTTCAATAAAGTAATATATATCTAGTATATCTATAGTTAACAAATTCTTTCAAATATTCATATAAATATTAATATTTTAATAAAAATAAAACTAATTGAATTAAGCAATTATCATATTGTATTTAAATCTTAAAAAGTTACAGAAGTATGTATTTAATTAGTCAATAATTATTACTTTAAAAATTTTAAGCTGATTACTAGAAATATACTTCTAAAAATATTAATATAGTTTTTTATAATATTTATTATTTTAATTTTGAAATAAAATATAAGTATTAATATTATAAAATATAATATACTTTACAAAATCTTTTAATTTTACAAAATATTTTTAATATATTAATATTATATATATAATAAATTAAAAATATTATTATAATAATATTATTCTATAGTACTATTCTATATGTAAACACAAAATTGGTATAATTTATAAATCAAAACAATTTATTTTTTACAAAACATTAAAATTTTAATTAAATTTAAATTAAAGATAAGGTTAAAGTTAGACAGAGTATAGTTTAAGCTAAAATTTTATAAGAAATTTTTTTATTAAAATGCAAAGAGGGTTAACAAATATTAAGTAATATATACCCCTTTTGAGATTTGTGTTTAACCTCTACAGGGTCAGATATTTGACCAATATATATTATACTAAGTAACAAAATCGAATTTATTATCTAAAAAGTGACAAAATTGAGGTTACTATATGATAAAATTGAATTTATCATCTAAAAAAATGTGACAAATTCGAATTTATCATGTAATAAATTCGATTTTGTCACATTTTTTAGGTGATAAATTTGATTTTATCATATAGTAATCTCAATTTTGTTACTTTTTAGATGATAAATTCGATTTTGTCACTTAGTATAATATATATTGGGCAAATACCTGACTCTGTAGAGGTCAAACACAAATTTCAAGGGGGTATATATTACTTAATATTTGTCAACCCCCAAAAGATATTTTTTAATTAAAATTTTAAGATAGGATGTAGCAACTTAGTAAAGTAATAAAGTTGTTGTATTTTCAAGCAGTTGAATACAAGTTCAATTTCCACTGAAGATGAAAATTGAATTTAGAAAAACAGATTTAGCAACTATTCATCAGAACTGAGAGATCCTAGATATTTGTATAATGAAAAAGTTATACAAAAATATACACTAGTATCATAAAAAGCCACAAAGCTGATTAGGTAGTAGAATGCTCACTTGACAAGTTCCAAATAAAAAGATAGCATAGATCTTCAATAATTCTACTAGAATAGGTTATATCTAAGGTTAATGCAACTAAACAAAAACTGGATATCTGACAAGATTACCCTACCAACCAAGCTACCAGAATATCAACTTGAAGAAAAAAATTTATATGCAGGTACCAAAAGACTGGTATTTCTTTTAAGCTATCTGAATTGGTAGTTTGGAAAAATTAACAGGATAGTACCAAAAAGAGAAGGTACCAGATAGACTTGAAAGGGAGTACTGGGGTTTGAGTGAACTTTATAAGGGCAAAAGAAGGAAATAGTAGGGGTTTTGGCTTGCAAAAACTTGTTCTCAGACTCAGTATAAGTTACTGAAGTCTAGGTTAGCCAAATTGTAGATATGAAAAGCTTTAGCAACAATATCTTAAGGATAAATTAGTTTTAAGAGTATTGTATGCACCTACAACTTCTTGACTGACAATTAAAATAAAGATGTTCTAGTAATACAGATAGAGGTATATTACAGAGTATTTAAATAGTAAATATCTATAGTTGGGTTATAGATATAGTATAGAATCTAAAAATAGGTAGGCTATATAAAATAATATCAAAAGTGTACATGTGGCTAGTATGTACTCTCTAATGTTCTTTGATGAACCTCTTGTTCTGCATTTTTGAATAAAAAACTTCAGTTTTAAAAAAGCTAGTTAACAAAAAAAATTAAAATTTAAAGATATAACTAATTTTTTAAAATTTTATTATTTTTGTTATACAAAAAAGTGATTTGTATATTATACTTGATCTTAAATTTTAATTATCTATAATACTTTAGTATTATAATACTATAGCACTATAAAATATATCTTATAAATTAATTATTTAATAAAACTATTATAAATTTTTTTTAATACTTTTAATATTATTACTATAAGATTTAAATAATTTTAAATATAAATTTTACTAACTATAATCGTGGTAATTATCATTACAGTCATATAATACAAGATCAATTTCATATATATCATATAATACAAATTATTAGAACTAATTGATTAATTTGATATATTAACATTTATTTTTTATATTTTAAATACTGTAACTTTAATTATTTTATTAGTTATGTATATATTTTACATAGCTTGTATTGCACTTAACGACATCTACTAGATTTACTTTGCTTATCCTTTAGTTACTTCACTACAGCTATTACCTTTGAGTCACTCCTTTCTGTTAAATACTCAATGTAATTTAATCTAATTTTAATTTTAACCCTAACTCTAATATAAACCAATTTTCTTAATCACTAAATCCCAATTACAATATTAAGAAAATCAAAGTTCAATATAGAAATCAAAAACATTATACATAGCACAAAGAATAGAATAATAAACAAAGTGCCAAACACAATGTGATATAAACTCAGTACTATTAGCAAAATATCTCATAATACACCAAAAGAGCAAGACATAATACTACCTGTTCTAAACTTGAATTAGTATTATATGAACACAAACAATATTAAAAGCAAAAAAAAAATAATACTTAGCTATATAGTTGAGAAACTTAAATGCTAAGGTAACACATCATGAAAAAGAAACCAACCTGAATAATAGCAACAAAAGAGAAAGCACCAAACCAGATAATACTAAAGTTAGAAGAAAAAATATCAACCACTGGCACCAACTAGCAAAAAGCACCAAACTAGATAATGCAAAGCACCAACTAGTAAAAAAAGTACTGAATAGGATGATACCAATAAAGCAAAGACCAATTGGCAAAAAAAGTACTAAATAGATAATACCAATAATGTATGAAAAGGCACCAACTGAGATAATATACTGAACAGAACAATACCAACACACAAAGTACAACTGATAAAAGAAGTATTATTGAATAATACCAGCAAGCAAGGCACTAACTAATAAAAAATATGAATCTACTATATAAAAAAGAACAAATATAAGTATTAGTACTAATAAATAAAAAAATAAAAACAAAAAAAAATCGAATAATTTATTTTTTTATATCTGCTCTGTATAACAGATAATGATCACTACAGTTATGGTTAGTTAAATTCTTTAAATATATATGTTAAGTTTGTTATAATTCTATTTTTAATATATATTAAAAATATAACTATAAAATATAATTATTATATATTAATTATATAATTAATATATAAATATAATTATTATATACTATTTTAAGAAAATACTAAAAATAGAGACTCAACATTAACTCTTACCAACAATCTTCTAAACAATACAACAAAAATTGAACTACAAAAAAATACTATAGAATGTTCCAAGGTTTATACTATTTTAATTCTGTCTTTAAGTAAACAGTTGTCAACAAAGTCTAAAGATATGAAATACTGAGGAATGGATATAACTTAGGTAGTTTTTCTTGAGATCAAGCCTTCACTATCTAGGGTGGACTTCTCAAGATATTTGGCATCCAAACCAGAAATTTTATTCTGAAAACTGAACTTACTTTTGAAAAGGTTGCTATTAACAAAGCTTAAATGACATGAAACACCATGAAGCAGATATAACTTAAGTGTTTTTTCTTGGAATCAAGTATTCTTGTACTGGTAGACTTCTTTGAATTTTTGGTACCAAACTAGAAGGTTTATTCTAAAAGCAAATAGTAGAACAGCTCTTGCTAAGATAATATAATCTTAAAGAATCAACTATACAACTATAAAACTTATAGAAGAACCTCACATATTCTCATTGGCCTCTATCTTTTTTTGGAAAAAAATTTGTAAAAAGTGGATAATCTAGCTTACTCCTCCAAAAGATCAATATATTGTTTACTTACTAAATTAGATAGTATTGTTTACTTTTTTATCTGTCACAATAAACATGTAGATATACTAGAATAGTGGACCTATAATTATATGTCTTGAATGTAACAACCCAGACAAACAATACTTCGAACCCAATAGTGTGATTTTCTAACCTCTCTATAGTACCAGTGTTAAAGAAGCTTTTTTTCTTTTTTTTTAGATTTTAAGTTTAGATATACTATGTATATAAATTAGTATAGAAAATAGTTTAGATATACTATATATATAAATTAGTATAGAGAATAGTTTAGATAGTAGTATGTAATTTTTATAGAGTCTAACACAGACTTATAATTATAACCATCTAGTGTGAATAAAAAATCTCATATTTAGTTTAATTTTTTTTTGTATTCTCTTTCTCCCTTTTATTTCATGTTTGTTTTTTTTATATATTTCCCTATATCTCT